GAGCTTCAGCTCACTCTCCAGGAGACAGAGGGGGGGGAGGAGGGAGGGAGGGAGGGAGGGAGGGAGGGAGAGAGAGAGAGAGAGAGAGAGAGAGAGAGAGAGAGAGAGAGAGAGAGAGAGAGGACGAACCATGCCTAAGCTGTACAAGGAAGATAACTGCAGCCTACTCTACTTTTGGGGTGACAGGAATTATTTCAGGTTCTCAAGCATGCTGAGCAGATGATATTTCACATGGTGACATTCCCAGCAGCCACAGAAATTCAGTGCCAAGGCTGAGAAGTCAGAGAAGATTAGAGCTGTCACCAGGTGATGGTGGCACATACCTTTAATCTCAGCACTCAGGAGGCAGAGGTAGGCAGATCTCTGTTGAGTTTGAGGCCAGCCTGGTCTACAGAGCTTGTTCCAGGACAGGCTCCAAAGCTACATAGAGAAACACTGTCTCAAAAAAACAGACAAACAAAAAGATTAGAGCTGTTAAGATTCTTTGGGGGAAGAGAAGCCTGTTCTCATGGCCTGCTTGGCGAGGGAGTTACCAGCCAAAAATTGTAGGTGGAAACCAAAACATAGATGTCATAATACCAAGGTGGTAGGATGTTGGGTGTGGGGTTGGCTGTGAGTTCTTCCTTGTTACCCTCTTAGGTTCCTGGGAATCAAAAGAAGATGAATGGGCTTTGTATAGGGTAAGCTGCTCAGATGAGCACAGGGAAAGGCAGAGAAGGTGTTGTTGGTGTTGCTCACCCAAGGGAAGGAACAGGATAATTATTTCTGCAGTAATGAAAACCTGCTCTATTTTGGTTCTATACTGATCATCCCAGTCCATTCTGGGTCTTACTGAGTCTGATAGAAGAGAGGCCCTTACTTACTGTCATACAATTCTATGTTGTTCACCCTGGGAGCCATGCTACATTGAAACAATGTGGTATTCAGTTATGCACCCAGAATGTAGAGAGGGTGGCTGTTGGGCACAAGGAGAAAAAGAGTGGGCATATATGGACTACAAAATCCCGAGTTTAAAAAAAAAAAAAAAAAAAAAACATGGGAAGAATTTGATGACTGGTGTCTGAGTGATGTAGACAACCTGGAATTACTAAATTAGGGAAGCTCCCTTTTGATAATGATAAGAAATAAAAGGGAAACAAACCATCAGAAAAGTCTTGTAGAAGTTACTCTGAAGTAATAATGCAAATACAAAGTTAGGACAAGTTCAGATAACTAGGTTTTAGAGCTATATAGTGATGTGATGTGCTTAGCTGTGCTGTCAGGGATGTGCCAGGATTTTGAGGTGGAAGTTGGCCAACAACAATAATCTTAATGCTTGTGCTAGAAGGAAGGATTTGTACCTGGGCTGTGGCATGAGCCAGTAAAGAATCACTGATTTCTTTTTACATTAATGTGGCTTTGTGATGTATTTCAGCAGCTCTAAGCCCCTAAATGCTCAGATGAGGAGGATATGTACTGTGCTTTACAACCAAAGGAAGGAGAACAGAGGTAACTGCCTAACTCTACAAGGGCCAATATACAGTCGAAGCTAGGCTTAACCACAGCTTTCAACCCCAGAGGCCAGAGGTTCCTGTGGTTATTCTCCCTCCCTCCCTCCCTCCCTCTCTCTCTTTCTCTCTGTTAAATTTTTTTAAAACTTTTATGTTTTGTGGGTTTCACATCATGTGTTCCTATCCCACTTATCTCCTTGTTCCCTCACATCTGCCCTCTGCCCATGCAACCTCCCCTTCCCAAAACAAAACCAAATTTAGAAGAAAAGTCAAAAACCAAACAAAAAAAGAACCAAAACAAAAATAAAAACAAAAAGAGAAGAAGAATCTTGTGGAAGCTATAGTGTGGCCCCGTGAGTCACACAGTTCACCCTTTAGTCCATACAGCTTGTCTTCATTGATATGAGTCATTGGTCTGGTTCGAGGCCTCTGGTTTCTGCTACACCCCCATAATGGAGTCTCACTGGGACTCCTCTTATATGTCCTGTGTCATGGAGATCTTGCTGTTTTGAATTTTAACTTAATATATAAACAAGAAAACTAGAGCTGTTTCATGGAGGGCCTACAATGCTGGTGTGATACCCTTTAATTTGTTTACCTCTTGGGTAAACTTATTTACCTTTTGGTTTACTGCTTGGGTTCTGCTTTTATGTTATAGCACAACCAGGATTTTAAACTATATGGGCCATCTTCTATAGTAAATTACAGATTTCCAGTAATGGATCTCAGAATTGAGGGAGAATTTGAGAATGAGGAGAAAGCCTGCGGTGAGCCATAGCAAGAGGGAGAGGAAATCCTCTTAAAACTTTATTTCCATGTAGCCTTATTAGCAGTTGGTACTGTGAAGTCTGGATGCTGCCTCTTTAGTTAGGGGAAGCAGAGATTTACTTGTCTGGGACCAGGAAAATAGAAGGACTTCCCCTGGATGCAGTAGGGAGATTGAAGGGGAGGGTCATAAATTAAATCATGAAGAATAGATAAGGGTATGAAGAAAGGAGGAATCGCTTGCAGTGATGAGTTACTGTCAAAAATTCACCTGACAGCTTGCACTGGTGGGGTGGAAGACTTAATGTAGATGAATGGCAGGATGGAGTTTAGGAGATAGAGAAGCCTCAGATTGAACAAAGGTGTGCCTTGGTAGGAATGAACACTCTACAGAGGTGAAGGTATTGGGTCTCCTTATACTTTTACTTCAACTATCTGCACAAGCTCTTTGAGTATAATGGGTCTAGTGATCCACTGGGCACTAACTTCATGACTTGCACAAGTCTCTCATACAGACATACATGGGGCATAAAATGATTTAGCTAGAATAATTTTAAAAAATTTAATTGATGTTTTTGAAAAGTGATAGAATTACTAAAGAAATGGTGAAATACTGTGTTGTAATTAATTATCCTTTGCTTATCAGGGCCCCAAGTCTGCAGAGAGTGAGAAGTAATTCTTAGAACTGAACATTGAGGGTTCAGAATTCAGACACTTCGTTATTAATAATTAGGTAAAATGAGCAAGTTTATAACTATGCATTAAGACTTGAGACCTTCAGTTGAACAATTCTGGATTGATGGCAGAACTTAAAGTTTTAGGAATTTTTTTTTTTTTAAGTACTCAAACTAGGTTAGTTCTAATGTGTTACAGTAATATTTGGTGATAGTTCACCATTCTCAGCCAAATGTTCTTCCACTGAGCCACTCCTCAGCCCCCCTCCCCATCTAATCAGGTTTTATTGTGTATTTCTGCATGTGAAACCTTGTACTCAGTTTTGACTCCTACATTAACATACACCTTTCAAGTTTACTTATATTTTGTTTTGTTGGGGGACAGGGACTCACTATGTAGCTGTGACTGGCCTGGAATTTGCTATGCAGATCAGGTTGGCCTCTAACTCAGTGATCTGCCTGCTTTTGTCTCTGCCTTCCCAGTGCTAGGATTAAAGACTTGTGCAACTATGTTTCTTGTGCCACCATTCACATTGCTGTTTGTCCACAGGCTCTCTCCCTACCTCTATCCCCCTTTCCCTCCTCTAATAGCCATTAGCTTTGAAGAGAAAGTTAACTGTTGTCCTAATTAATTGCTACTTTGTTTTCTAGTTTCTCCCTGCTGTGATGATACCCTGACCACACTTGCTTTTGAACTAAGAGTCTCAGGGTTCTCTTTCAGTGCTGCTTCCAGAAGCCCTTTCCTCCTTACTTGTACTCTTCTCATTTTGTCTGCTAGGAGGCTGGCTGGCTTTTGGATGCTTCAGTCTGAAGAGCATGGATTTCTAGTTTCCTTCCTGTATTCTGCTCTGCTGTATAGTTGATAGTACAGCATGTAGAGTTGCTGTCTAGGCTTCCCAGGACTTTGTTCCCTTGATGTTTCCATTTCTGTCTCTTTTTTAATTCATTTGGGGTATTAAAGGGTCAGCAGTGGGTTATTTAGTTGTGTGTGAAATTAACTGCATAAGCATGTCCCAGCTTTTACTCATTGTAAATGTTATTTGTATCTTCTTAAGTCTTATTTTGGCAACTGAATAAACATCTTTTAGATAATGCTCTTATTTATTTTTTATTTTTTTAAAAAAAACCTGTTTTGATTTAATTTGTATAAACAATTTGCCCCTCTCCCCAAAGCACTAGTATGTACAAGTTTAGGCAGATTTCTAAGAAAACCAACCACATAACTGACTCAGTAAACTGGGGGTAAAAGAATGTTTTGCAGAGGCATTGAGCTTCATTTTGATTTTTGAGACAGGGTCTTGCTATGTGGCTTTAGCTGGCTTCAAACTTGTATCCCCCACTTTTTCCTGAGTGCTGAGACTGCAGCTGCTTCACTGTGTAAATGTCTTACTATACCAGGCCATTTGACAGATAATGATGTGTGGATATGGTACATACACAGGGTATACAGACCTTAGGAGACCTAGAGATGGGTTATTAGGAAAGGTCATAGGTCTATAACTTCTAAAATCCCATTCTGCTAAAGAATTCCCAAGAACACTTTTTTTTTGGTGGGGGGAGGGTGTCCTGTATAGGTCTGGTTGGCCTCAGACTAGAAGCAATACCTTATGAGTGCTAAAATTACAAAGCATGCCTTTACACCCAGCAAGGACCCCCCTTCCCCACCTACTATAGGAGAATTTTACTATTACTTTAGTGATTTTATTCTTGTCACTTGAAGTTAGCAAGTTTAGAAAATTCTGCTTTCTAATAAATACATTTTAATATATTCTGAATTTGTAGATTGAAAACATTAAAACAATTGAAACAGCCTTAAAACTTTTGGAAATATGGGAAAAATAAAGACTAACAATATAAGATAATTTAAACTTTGAGTGTAATTCAGTGCATCTGAAAGAACTCAGTATTTACAGCAAGCCCTCTGCTGTCTTTGTTTCTGTGGTGGGGTAAAATGTGGTTTGAATTGTTCATTAGTTTTATTCACAATGTAATATAAAGATGAAATGTCATGTTCTGACTTGGTTTGTTTGATTTACAGCAAATGAACTGCAATTTATCTCTTTTACTTTAGGCTTTCAGATAAACTTCTGTGAAAAGGCACAAAGTAAGCTAAAATTTTGATATTCTGTTACTTATTTTTTTATTTTTCATATCCATCTTGGTATTGGGAATGTTTCCACTATTGTTTCAACTAACAGACCATGGTGATTTCACATTGAAAGAGCTTCCATTTTTCATTCTGTTCCTTCCCATTCTTTGTTTTATTCTTGACTATAAATTGTTCTTATTTTTACTTGAAATTCAGATAGGAAAAAAGGTCTGTATAGAGATTCAGATGCATGTGGGCTTAGAAAAAGAAGTATTCAGACTTAACTGTAATTTAAACCACAAATTGCAAGTTCACATTTAAGATTGTGGTGCTGAAAGCCCTTAACTGAATATAAAGACTATGCTTTTATTTAAAAGTATTTAATGTTCTTACTTTTTTTCCCCTTTAAAACACATCTTATTGCAGCCATGTCCATCTGTCTGCATCCCTCCCTCTGCAAAGAGCTCCATGGATAGGTTAACAGTATTGTGGAGCTCTTCATAGACTTCTTCAGAGACCCATGAGCTGGACTTAGCACAGCCATAACTCTTTGACAATGTAAGTGCTAGTCTCTAGATTTGCGTCCCAGTACCAGATTAAAACAAAACAAAACAAACAAAAAACAAATAAAATGTTTGGGTTTATAGAATATAGAATAGATTTTGTTTAAAATAACAAACTATAAAGCTAAGTCAAAATAGATTTTGAACTTTTGAACTTTAAACAGATTATAAAATGCAGTTTTTAAAAAAGGCTCATCTCAAGGAGACTAGTCTAGTTTACATGAAGACATTCCAAAATGAAGTAGTTTTATCTTCTGATTCTTCATGTCTGGGGAAGAATGATAACCACTTGATGTATATCATTCTTAGTTTGTAGGGAGAGTTTAACTGGAGAAAAAGAAAAAGCAGTTCTGTTATATAAAGCTTTTATTTTACTTTTTTTTTTTTTTTTTTGGATGGGTCAGGGTCAGAAAGTTTAATTTTTATTGGCTGGACATGGTGGTTTTCTTTGTAATGCATTGAACAGAAATTTATTTCTTGAATGGGTTACCTGTGATGTGAGTATGTGTATATGGTAGAGTTGAGGCAACAAACAATACACTTGGATAAAAGTTTTTTAGTAGGCACACTATTATCTTCCTCTTTTAAGCACTGTACCGAAAGTGTATAGGAATTTCTGCCCATAGCAAATCTACAATTATGTAGGTATGAAGTTGTCGTTTCTATTCCATGCTATCCTAATTTTTAATACACTCATGGTAAATTTTAGCTTTCATTTACATTTTAACATAATATTTGCTTAATATTTAGCAGTTTTATTATATACTCCAAGGCTGATCTATTTAGAATTTATTATTTTCACTGTAGTCTCTTTGCCTTTAGTTCTGCTGTGTATGTAAAACAAGAGGCACATGGTTGTGCTAACTCTAAAATGTGTGCAGTGCTGCAAACAGCTCTGAAGATAGGTTAGCAGTACTGTGGGGCTCTGAGTGGCTCTGCCCTTTCCTGTTGCTGCAGCTCTGCGTGCTATGTCATTCATGGGTGACTCTAATGAGGAGCCCCAGAACCTATAGGAGATTAATTGTAAGGGAGGGACATATGCAGGCACACTTTTGAACTCATTTTTTCATGCTGCTTGTCATTGTTCCTGTTTTCTCCTGACTTTCCTCAACACTCCCTTTGTCTTTCCCATTTCTCTTTATTTTCTGCCTTTGAGATTCAATATCATTATATTCCCTTTTTCATGAGGTACCCATTGATATTAAGAATGGAACAGTGAGTGAGGTTCCTGTGCAGAAATGAATAAAAAGAGGTACCTGTCCTTAGCAGGCTCACTAATTATCAATATCTAACTACTGATGCTACATGCAGACAACTGAGAAACTGAAGCCAGGTTGAGAATGGTTGCAGGAGCGGATGTGTCCAGGACACCTGTATTTCTGCTGATTTCAGGAGAGAGCAAGCCTAAGAACACAGTGTGTCTTATGTTCACGCCTTTCTTCCTTTTTCCTTTTCTTGAGATGGGAGTCTGACTTTGTCGCTGAGATTGGCTTTGAGCTTGGTGCTCATATGGTCTTCCTGCCTCACTGAGCAGTTGGAACTGTATGTACATTCCACCATGCCCGTTTCAGTTTCTGCTTTCCTAATGAGAACTGTAGGCTTGGGGACCCTGCTATGGGCCTAACCTACTTCAGAGTTGAGCAGAGCTGTCTCTGTTGACTTATCTTAGAGAACTCCAGACAGGAAGTGCACATAATCAGGGAGAGGAGAAACTGGAGAGTTAGTAGGGATGGCCAGCCTTTAGCCAAGAGCATTGGTTTTTGTGCACATCACTGCTTATGTTTTAGGATAAGGATAAGCTTATATGTTAACACTTTTCTAATGTTTTAATGAATTTAAAACTTTAAAGTGCAATTTGTAATGTCTGTGGCAGTTTTCTAGTTTGCAAATGTTAAGTTTGTTAATCACCATTTCTTTAAAAATTAAGAATTTGAAATTGTCATTTGAGTAGTTGTTATCTCTTGGCTGATGCTTTGCCAAAAATGCCAAAAGAGTTTCAGAATTAAGGAAATCTATTTAATTCATTAACACTAAGTATATGTCTTATAGTAGTTGTAGGAGAGAATGTAGCAAAGAACAGAAAATTAGGCATTTTAAAGGTGCAGTTGAAGCAGCAATACCCAATTCCCCACCACAATCCAGATTGTTCTAAAATAATCATGACTAATGGAAGCTCTGAGAGATTAATGTTCCCATTGCTTGACATGCACAGTTTTTGTTCTTTATGTTTCTCCATTGCTATTCCAATCAGATATTGTGATTGACTGTTTTAAGTTATTGGAAAGTTATTGGAAATGTTTATATGCATACTTATATGCACAGATAGTTTGAGATTCCAGTTTTAATTTGTGGTCCAGATTTTAGTAGAAACTGAATACTCACTTTGTATCTCATTTTTTTTTTTTTTTATTTTTTAAATAAATTAGTCTGTGCATGACTGATTTTTGATTTTAGAAGTATTTAAGATAATATATTTTAGATAATACAAATAAGTAATTTATTTATGATAACTATGTTTCTTTTAACACTCCTGAATCATTGAATTTTTCTGAATGTAAAATTCTTGAGGAAGAAATAAATGCCTTTTCATTTGTCAGAGTTCTAGATGTACAGTTTCTGCATTCCCAAGATTAAATTTCAGTTAGAGCCTATTGGTTACCCATGTTAAGTAATTATCTTGTTCATGTAAATATGCTTATGTAGCTTATGAATGCATCTTTTGTTTTTAGTAGATGAACTTCACAGTATGATTTGCTTACTTTATAAAAACCAGTCTCTAGGAGTGAAGGTAAAGGATTACTTAGAAACATGTTCTGAGAACTTTTTTTTTTTGCCTGAGGTCTGCCAACCACTTGACTTTGGGGTGGATAGGGGACAAGGACAATGTCTATTATAGATACTTGGACATAGGGTTTCCTCAGAAAATATCTGAAATCCTGTGCTAATCAAATTGAGAGTTTTTAGGAGGCTGTCCAATAATTTAGTTTTTATTTCACTGTATTTGTCAGCCCATAGCAGAAGACTTCTTGATCTCTGAAGAAAATTTGGTTTCTGTAGCTTTGTCTTTTACACTTTTAGTGGCTTTAAAAGCTTCTTGTGTCTTTTAAAAATGTTTTGCTTGGGAATGTTTGCATAGCAGTAGAATATTGCCCCCACTCCCCTTCCTGTGTCTCCACCATAACCTAGGCTTACTTAGGACTCATTTTGTAGCTCAGGTTGGGATTACAAACCTCTTCTGCGATTCTTAGTTTACAGCAGATTTATTCTGCAGAAAGTGTGTGCTCCAGAGGTAAGCATTGTCCCATGGCATTAGGTGAATTAGACTACATAGCAGTTATTTTTGGTGATGCTACACATTGATAGATTGCAGAAAGGTTTATGTTTATGTGTGGAAGAGAGGCTTTCTCATGGCTGATTCTTCTTGCTATTTTTTTTTTTTTTAATATTTTCTGAGCCAGCTGTAGCTTACTATTGTAGCCTAGGCTGGCTTGAACTCTGAAGTTATGATCTTCCTGCCTCAGCTTCGGAATGCTAGGATTACAAGCATGTATCTTCATACCCTTAATTGTGAAGCCTCTCTTTTACAGTAATTATCTCTTATTGTTTTAAATTGGTGGCAATAGTAAAACTGGAGGAAGGATGTTTCCTGAATCTTTTCAGAAGTTTGTGTTAGACATTCATAGTTTGCTGAGCTGATAGGAGTGTTTGTAAAAGGTGGTGTTTTGGCTTTATTGATGGGATAAAGAGAACCAGGGTAAAGAAGTTGTGGATCGAGGGTCAATTCTTCATGTTTTAAATACTTAGAAATTCATTTCTTAAAAAATATTTATTTGTTTTTATTTATCTGTATATACCACTGTGTGTAATACACATATTCAGGATCCTCTAAGCCAGAAGAGGGTGTTGGAGCTCTTGGAACTGGGGTTACAGGTGACTGTGAGCTGCCTGATAAAGGTAGGCACTGGGAACTGAAGATGGTTCTACATAAGAGCATTAAGTCTTCCTCATTGCTGAGTCATCTTCCCAGCCCTGGCTGATTACATTTCTAAATTTTTGTTGTTGTTGTTGTTGTTGTTTTGTAGTAACTGCAACCAATGACTAAAATTTTGTCATTTAAAAGTTACTGACCTCAGCTGAGTTTTTTTAAGGAAACAAATGAACACATTGGCTTTTGGGTATCAGTACCATTTATTTAGCTTGATACAGATGATGAAGTAGTTTTGTTTTGTTTTTCCAAGACAGGGTTTCTTTGTATAGCTTTGTTGACCATGCTGAACTCACAGAGATTTGCTTGCCTCTGCTTCCTGAGTGCCAGGATTAAAGGCATAAACCACCACTGCCCAGGGATTAAAGGCATACACCACCACTGCCCAGCTCAACAAAAGCGATTTTTTGTAGAGCTGGCCCATAAGCTATAGAGGCTGATGCCCAGTATATTCATCACTTTCTCTG